CCCCTGTATCCCATCAAAAATCTAACAGAAATTTCACCTACGTCTGGCCCCTGTATCCCATCAAAAATCTAACAGAAATTTCACCTACGTCTGGCGCCCTGTATCCCATCAACAGTCTTACAGACAGTTAACCTACGTCTGGCCCCCTGTATCCCATCAATAGTCTAACAGACAGTTAACCCATGTCTTGCCCCCTGTATTCCTTCAATGGACTTACAGATAGTTCACCCATGTCTTGCCCCCTGTATCCCATCAATACACTTACAGACAGTTCAACCATTTCTTGCCCCCTGTATCCCATCTTACAGACAGTTCACCCACGTCTTGACCCCTGTATCCCATCAATGGACTTACAGTTTACCCACGTCTTGCCCCTTGTATCCTATCAATGGACTTACAGACCGTTCACCCATGTCTTGCCCCCTGTATCCCATTAATACTTACAGACAGTTTACCCACGTCTTGACCCCTGTATCCCATCAATGGACTTACAGTTTACCCACGTCTTGCCCCTTGTATCCTATCAATGGACTTACAGACCGTTCACCCATGTCTTGCCCCCTGTATCCCATCAATAGACTTACAGACAGTTTACCCACGTCTCGCCCCTTGTATCCCATCAATTGACTTACAGACCGTTCACCCAGGTCTTGCCCCCTTTATCCCATCAATAGACGTATACAGTCTACAGACAATTAACCTACGTCTAGCCCCCTGTATCCCATCAATAGACGTATACAGTCTACAGACAGTTCACCCACGTCTTGACCCCTGTATCCCATCAATGGACTTACAGTTTACCCACGTCTTGCCCCTTGTATCCTATCAATGGACTTACAGACCGTTCACCCACGTCTTGCCCCCTGTATCCCATCGATACACTTACAGACAGTTCAACCACTTCTTGCCTCATGTATCCCATCAATTGACTTACAGACAGTTAACATCAATAAACTAACAGACAGTTCACCTACTTCTGGCCCTGTATCCCATCTAAAGTCTTACAGAAATTTCTCCTACGTCTGGCCCCCTGTATCCCATCAATAGACTAACAGACAGTTAACCCATGTCTTGCCCCCTGTATCCCATCAATAGACTTACAGACAGTTTACCCACGTCTCGCCCCTTGTATCCCATCAATTGACTTACAGACCGTTCACCCAGGTCTTGCCCCCTTTATCCCATCAATAGATGTATACAGTCTACAGACAATTCACCTACGTCTAGCCCCCTGTATCCCATCAATAGACGTATACAGTCTACAGACAGTTCACCCGCGTTTGACCCACTGTATCTCATCAATAAACTAACAGACAGTTCACCTACTTCTGGCCCTGTATCCCATCTAAAGTCTTACAGAAATTTCACCTACGTCTTGGACTTACAGACAGTTTACCCACGTCTCGCCCCTTGTATCCCATCAATTGACTTACAGACCGTTCACCCAGGTCTTGCCCCCTTTATCCCATCAATAGACGTATACAGTCTACAGACAGTTCACCCGCGTTTGACCCACTGTATCTCATCAATAAACTAACAGACAGTTCACCTACTTCTGGCCCTGTATCCCATCTAAAGTCTTACAGAAATTTCACCTACGCCTGGCCCCCTGTATCCCATCAAAAGTCTTACAGAAATTTCACCTATGTCTGGCCCCCTGTATCCCATCAAAAGTCTTACAGACATTTCACCTACGTCTGGCCCCCTGTATCCCATTGTCTTGCCCCCTGTATCCCATCAAAGGACTTACAGACAGTTTACCCACGTCTCGCCCTCTGTATCCCATCAATGGACTTACAGACAGTTCACCCATGTCTTACCCCCTGTATCCCATTAATGGACTTACAGACAGTTCACCCACGTCTTGATCACTGTATCCCATCAATTGACTTACAGACAGGTCCCCCATGTCTGGCCCCCTGTATCCCATCAATTGACTTACAGACAGTTCAACCACGTTTTGACCCCTGTATCCCATCAATTGACCTACAGACGGTTCACCCATGTCTGGCCCTCTGTTTCCCATCAATAGCGGTATACAGACACTTCACACACATCTGTCCCCTGTATCCTTTCTATAGTATATTTACACTTATAGGTAAGACATGTGTAGCCCCCTATCATTCTTGTAGTGTAGGAAGTGTATTTACATTTACAGAAAATTAACCTATATATGCTCCCCTTCCCCCCATCTTGTCAATAGACTTACAGACAGTTCACCCACATCGGGCCCCCTGTATCCAATCAATTGACTTACAGACAGTTCACTCACATCTGGCCCCCTGTATCCAATCAATAGCGGTATACAGACAGTTAACCCACGTCTTGCCCCCTGTAATGGACTTACCGACAGTTCACCTACATCTTGCCCCCTGTATCTCATCAATAGACTTACAGACAGTTAACCCATGTCTTGCCCCCTGTATCCCATTAATAGACTTACAGACGGTTAACCCATGTCTTGCCCCCTGTATCCCATCAATACACTTACAGACAGTTCAACCATTTCTTGCCCCCTGTATCCCATCAATTGACTTACAGACAGTTCACCCACGTCTTGACCCCTGTATCCCATCAATTGACTTACAGACAGTTTACCAACGTCTTGCCCCCTGTACCCCATCAATACACTCACAGACAGTTCAACCACGTCTTGACCCCTGTATCCCATCAATTGACCTACAGACGGTTCACCCATGTCTGGCCCCCTGTATCCCATCAATAGCGGTATACAGACAGTTCACCCACGTCTTGCCCCCTGTATCCCATCAATGGACTTACATGCAAGTCACCCACATCTGTCCCCTGTATCCTTTCTATAATATATTTACACTTATAGGGAATACATGTGTGACCACCTATCATTCTTGTAGTGTAGGTAGTGTATTTACATTTACAGAAAATTAACCTATATATGCTCCCCTTCCCCCCATCTTGTCAATAGACTTACAGACAGTTTACCCACATCGGGCCCCCTATAACTCGTCAATCATTCGAGACTCAGTCGAGTGTCTTAATGACAATTGGCTGTGACAGGTATGACCATACTTAATTATGTTACATTTTTTATTGCAGGTTTAACTGTCGTAATAAATGTTGACAGAGTTGTTTTTGAGCAAAATCAGGCAAATCATTCATTTTCAATCTCAGTTCTTGTTAATGGTTGAAAGATCTTAACTGTAAAACAACCTCTACTCTGATCCCCACAAGTCAACTATGTGTGAAGTAGTTGTATCGTTAAAAATACATTGTACCACCCACACAAAAAACATTAAAAAAATGAGTATTGTCACAGAATGATGTAGGCTTGATGTTAGTGGGAGAGTTTATATAGATCTTATATTTATATTTCTAATAGACAAAATGATAGTGTAACAAAAAATGGAAGAAATTAGAAATGGATTGTCAGAGGTCTTACTATTATTTACACCATACCATATTGAACGAACAAAATATTTGTACAAAAAAAACAAACAATACTTACATATGTACATTTCCTATAACCACTGCAATGCAACTAATGTCTCTATATTTTAAAGGTTCAGACCAAGCAGCAGAAGCAACATGTCCCATTCCTATTAGTAATGCTGTCAATATAGAGTACTGATTCATCATGACCAAATTAAGGAGTTATCTCCCCTTTAGAGATATTTTTCTATATATATATCTAAATCTCTTGTCAATGTTTTACTCATGTTTGTAATAATTCTTACTTAAGTATATTTCTGTCACAGACAACATGGGAGATTGTCATTTACATGATCACTTGACATATTAAATCTTTCAAATGCATACTAATTTGTCATTTACATAATAATGTATACACACGAAGGAATCAAGATAGATAAATCAATTAAGATGCTCTTTTTATATAAAACTTTTTGCCTTCTCATTGAGCTCATCATTTATATGAATCTTATATCAATGGACAACCTTCCTGAATTCTTAGCTCTTGTAACATGTGTCTGATCTTTAATGAGAGGTCACAGGTCACAGATACCTGTTCTATTGCTTGATGCTGAGTAACTTCAGTAAGAACAGATTGTTCCATAAATGGGGCTTTGAAACAACAAATAAATAATAAATAACTTCCACTGTTTTGTGAGCATGAAATGAGTTATCATTTAAGGCTTGGTTTTCTCCTAGGACAGATGGTACCCGCATTAAGTCCTACTTATTTGGTAAAAATATATCATACTTATCTTCAAAACTAACTTACTGACAAAAAAATACATTTTAAAAACATATAAGTGCGCAATGATGTTCATGAAACCAGTCAGACACAGCATTTATTTAATTCTCAAAAAAAATGTTAAAATTAAGCGACACTTGGCCTTGACAGACAGACATCCATGATAAATGTTTGAGGCAGAAAAAAGGAGTCATTTAATGAAAGATAAGGTATTGGTATATACACATAAGACAGCAATATAGGTATATATCTGTAATAAACTTATCTGTTGTAATTAAAATAAGTCTTAATACCTATGATGGAGAGATTTTTTTTTCATTTCTCATGTCATATTATTGTGAGGTATATATCATGTAAGGTACATGTAATGAGTTTATTTATTTAGAATAAAAGAAGAGTTTATCATAATTATTTGTAATTTCCCCTAAATATATATTTGTCAATAGATGTGACTAAAACAATCATGAACATATGCTTCTAACCCAGCGCAACTGTTTTAGCATGCTGTATTGCTCCTGGACATGTAATTCATGATGAGTGTATTGATTACTTTACTGTGTATTGTAAATTGGCCACGCCCACTTTTGTCGGGCGGTATCCAAAATGTATGGGTGCAAAGTTCTGCAGACCCTGGTTTGCTTTAAGATGATGCGATAGTGTAGCACACAGCTATACTGTGCTATCTTCCGCGTGACAACCCATGAGCTCGTTTGACAGGACCAAGTTATGATGTTGCAGATAGTCTGTCATTTCTTTTGATCAAATGTAAACAAACCGAGTCGGGGAAAAATCCCAGGTGCTAGTTTACCTCTGAGGTTAGGGAATTCCCTCTGACGTATTGATTCAATATCTTTGTTGTATGAAGCATCAATCTCCATATTGATTTCTGTTCCAGTTGCAATAACAATTAATTAAAAACAGCTTTTTGATCCACTAGAAATATTTCATCGATTTCAACCTCATGGAAGCTGCCATGTTGTACAGATAATCTGTCACATGATTTAGGTCATGACCTGAACTTCGCAAAGTTCATGGTATCCCTACGCCAAAATTAACATAATAAATTGAAACAAACTACATTTGAAAATAGTAAAATTCATCATGGTTAACAACTAACATCACGGGAGTTCTGCATTACTACGAAATGCGTGTTTATTTCTTAAGATGTATTTACGCACTATGTTTTACACCGCGGAGTGATCCGCTGTGTTGTTAGGTCGGTTTCTGACACGGTATTCATAACCCTACCGCTTGAGCACCTTTCCATGCATCCTGTCCTTGTGGCTGCTATCCTGTGTGTGTATTGATACCCGCTCTAATTTTTATCCAGAATCCTTGCTAGTAAACCCAGGTACGTTTTCTTCACTTTTTCCAGGTAGCTTATTCACCTTTTCTATTTTAACCATATTTTATTTTTAGTGTTCCGACTGCCTCTCTTTTTCTCCATTGAAAACCGTACGTTTCACGCTGTGGAGAGAAATCACACTCGCTCGTGCAAATTTCAGAGGGGGCTAGGGAGAACAGAAAAAAATGACAATCACTCCCTGGTTTTTGTTTAATATGTGCCTATACTGCTTTTGCTAATGCATGTTCAAGTTGTCAGTAATAATAATTTAATTTAGAAATAAAACCGTTAAAAAAACATTGGTGAATGAGATATCCGTAATACTTACCATAACTGTACTCCCCTATACACACCGTCAGACATGAATAACCGTCCCCATCCATTGTATCACATTTACCCCATCTATATGCCCTTTACTGTTCTTTACATTATGTTCCCGTAGCAAAATTACCCTATATTCCCTCGGTTATTTTTTTACTTTTGTTTATGCCTCACTTACATTCATCCTCTTGATCCTGAACACTCTCTCCCCACGAAACATATACCCGAAATCCGACTCGTTTTTGCATGATGGAATTTTAAGAAGAGGAAAAGAATATGTATGAAGATGAACTATCCTTTGCATGGAAGATCACCGCTGTATCTTGGCCTCCATTCTCTCTGTATGTTTATACTAACCCCCGGAACCATGTATATACTCTTTACTGCACACCAAATCCATGCTTCTCTGTACTTGTGTTAGTTACTTAGCTGTGAAGGGATTCTGCTCAAAGTGGATGTATAGGAAGCAACAAAGACTAGCCTGAGGATGAGGAACTACACCTCCATGGATTCTATCACGGGAATCTTGTGAAACAGACAACAACTCTTGTCATGTTCCGTGTTGTATGTGGATTTTCGAAGTGCTAGAATGTATATAAATGAGAAAAGAAACTGTGGTTCTCTTTTCTGTGTTGTGCCAATGGAATTCTTGTAACTGTGATGCTGAGTATTGTGATGTTAAAGTTTAAATGTCACTTTATCAGATTCTGCAAATAATAGAAACAGAGGCAGGACATGTTATTGATCAAAAGAAGTAGGACTCGGAAATGGATTTTATTGTACATGGCTTCCAAAGGATAATGCTATTGCTAATGCTGAAAATGACTGCCTCTGGATTGAATTTCAAAGTTGGATGGATTTTAAATTATATTGAAATTGATTCATTTTGTGTAATTATACTTCTTGGGATGAATGGAATAAAGGGACAAAAAAATGAAGGTTGGTATTTTTGTGATTTCTCCAATCAAACATGAAGCATACAGTGTCAAGAAAGTCAATACTTGATTATCGGACTGGATGACTGAAATCAGAAACCTAAAATCAATATTTCTGAAAGCAGTACAGAAGCTTAGTATATTGCTGTCAAAGAGCTTGGCTTTTGAAGCATTTCATTCTGTTCGCATACAACATTTGCATTAAGCAACGTAGAGCTACGCATCAGAGCCTGTTTCAATTTCTAATAACGGGAATTCCACTAGAAAAAACATTTTGAATGGCTTCATCTCAATTTTGGTGTAAAAATATACAGCTGTAAGATATTAGCCTGTTCTAGTCGGAATACGTCATTTCACCTAGCACAGACAACATAATTCAAGTTGGGGCAAAAAATTGAATTTGGAACATCTCATGTTTGAATAAAGCTAATGTGTTTCATGCTGTGCATATTGTAAAGAAAATCATAGCACTTGGCCCAAGCGGTTATATCTGTAGTATGTTTATAAATTTAGAACTTTTCCTTTCATGCTTCAATGTATAGATTTGCTGGAAGCCAGAAATAAATGTTAATCTTTTAAAAGTTCTTTCCTTAATTTGCATTTAAATATATTTTATACGGAATTAAATACAGTTCAAAAGACCGCATTAGAAATTAAGGTCAGTAAAGCAGTATTTAATGACGCTTATTATTCAAGATTCTATTATTCTTGGCAACTTCGGACTTGATAATCTTGGGTCGTCATGATCGTTATGTAACTTTCAAGCTTAAGATTTATCCATTTCTCCTCTTCTTATAAGAGTACAAATTTGTATTATTTGACAACTGTATTAGGTGTTCTAAATTGAATGGTGCTTTCACGGATCAGCAAGCCTCCATTGTCGTGGCGTGGTGTAAACTACAGATAGCCATCTTTAGCCCCGATTGTATCGCTCCAGGGTCGTCACCCTAACAGATCACTTACAAAAACCATCCAACTGCAACAGAACAATTCCTTTTGGCTACACCAATTTTTTGTACCCATTTCATTAGATTTATTGACATGAAATCGTTTTTTAAGACAGTTCTTGGATTATTTAAATCTCTTGAAAAAAACTATCAATTTCTTAATTGAACGATGTGTAAAGAATTAAGATTGAAAAAGTTGAAAGTAAAGCTTAAACAAATATTTGCACCCCACTACTTGTATGTATACATACGCACAGGGAATGTGTGTTTGATAACAGCTGTGGTTCAATCGTGTGATGAATTATGGTGTATAGAACAATGTTTGTCAGTTTGATAATGATCAATGACGGTTTTTGGGAGGGCTTTAATGACAAGTGTGGTAATTGCTGACATGTATGTTTTTTAATTATTAGGTGAATGATACATTTGCAGTACGAGAACATTTATGAGGGAAAACAATTTTGAATGGCACAACACTTCCCTTGAGTTCACCACATATCAAATACACACCTGTCGTACACAAAATATGTAATGGAGACCATAAATTTGAAATTTTGCATATATCATTTTATTATTTCCTACGAAATTTGTAGAATTTGTAGATATTTTATTTTTGTGTATATGGTAAATCTAGATAATCTGCTGATCAGAACGTAAATTGTGTCGGATTCAGTATTGATCGTTTTTGTACGTTTTTTTGATACATAATTTCACCTCTGTGTGATATCTTGATTTATGATCTGTGATAGGAAATGTAAATGTTCCAGACTACTCTAAAATTTTCTGCTATATATTGACATCATTTATCAAAGTTGTCAGAAAGCATTCTCTTAAAAATCATTATTAAAACACCAAGATCGGACTTTTAGCATACTCCAGCCCCCATGTCCTACGTCTTGCTATGATAAACATGATCAAGTATAATATGTATTCCCAACAGCTAGCTGTGGAGGCCAATACACAATCACATCTACAGTTCAATACCAGATATGATACATATCTATGTTGTGGTGTAAGCCGTTCAGGGGGTCGTCTGCTCCTCTGGGTCGTCTGCTCCTCCGCACTAGGTATCAACAGAAGGACCCTGTCCTGGTCTTGGCCCTGTCAGAGACACTATTGATGTTACTCTCTGAACATTTGATTTATGTATGTTCTGTGAAAATTTGTGTTTCATACGATTTAATCTTGTGAAAGACTACAGATGACCTGTACAATATTCTCCTGTCCCAGACCAAACCTTCACAAATTCTAAATCATATTTTTATGTCCGTATGAAATCGGGACAGACCGTTAACCCTAGTTTTATCGCAGGTAACACTTAAACAGACCTTCAGGCTTACTTTGATTGTAATTTTATACAGCCAGTTTAAAAACCTATCACTTCCTTGATATATATCAAAATTGTCAAATCACTTTCTGTTACCTTAATCTGTTACACCACATACAAATGTCCGACTATTTATCAAAAGATTAACAATGTTTTATATATAGTACCAAGCATGTGTGGTACATGTCATATAAGTGTTAAGCCCATAAAAGTGCATGCTTCAATTATAGACCTCAACATTCATTAAATTGATAAATATCAAAGTTAGGATAAACAAAATTCGGCCAGTGTATTCTAGTAAGATACATTTCAAAAACATGTCTAATCAAGGTTTCAGTGCAGGTAACAAGAGCGTTGAGATGCATACACATGTACGTAAATAAAGCACATGAAATATTCATACCTGTATTTTAAATTAAAAGGATCAGACTGTAAAATGTCTCGGTTGTAATGTAAATTGACTACCCAGATGCTTGAAAAGCTTTATATATTGCGATACGACTTGATCAATTTAAAGCGGTACCGATGGGTAAATTCAATTAAATTCAGATTCATTAACTACCGCATTCATGTGATAAGTGTAGAATTCAATTTTACATAATGCCTTATAAATAAATGTTCAGTTTACATGTGCAGTTTGTTTTTTGACACCCACATGTCATAGACTTCAAGGTTGTGTGTGATGGTGGTTTTTACAGAAAATCTTTTTTTTTACGTGCATTATATTTTCAACATAAAAAAGCAATTGACTTATTTATTATCATTATCAAAGTTAAAACACATTACACCTTGTGTCAGTATAGTAGACCTTAAAATAGGAACATTTTGCTGGTTTTTGCTCCGTACTTCTATATTGATGATCTAGTAAACAAGTATGTATCAATGTCATAACTGAATTATAAACGGAAATGTTTCGTTTTTGTCCTTCAGAATCTACGATATAGTGAGTAAATGTTTCGTTTTTGTCCTTCAGAATCTACGATATAGTGAGTAAATGTTTCGTTTTTGTCCTTCAGAATCTACGATATAGTGAGTAAATGTTTCGTTTTTGTCCTTCAGAATCTACGATATAGTGAGTAAATGTTTCGTTTTTGTCCTTCAGAATCTACGATATAGTGAGTAAATGTTTCGTTTTTGTCCTTCAGAATCTACGATATAGTGAGTAAATGTTTCGTTTTTGTCCTTCAGAATCTACAATATAGTGGGTAAAAGTTTCGTTTTTTGTCCTTCAGAATCTACGATATAGTGAGTAAATGTTTCGTTTTTGTCCTTCAGAATCTATGATATAGTGAATAAATGTTTCGTTTTTGTCCTTCAGAATCTACGATATAGTGAGTAAATGTTTCGTTTTTGTCCTTCAAAATCTACGATATAGTCAGTAAATGTTTCGTTTTTGTCCTTAAGAATCTACGATATAGTAAGTTTTTTTGTCAAAGTGAAAGAAAAAGGTTTATTTTGGTTCTTTCCTCAACTCAT